TAGCTATACGCCGTGACTTGTAACGAAGGAACAGAAAACAGGGAGACATACTTGGTGATGCAGGGAGAGCCTGCGACGTTGGTGTTGTTTTCGAGGCCAAAGAGGCAGTATGAAATTGTGTAGCGAAGGTTGTCTGGCTTGTTAGAAAAATTGATCGGAAAATGTGTACTTCAAACCGGGAAGCATATACTCACATAGTAGGTACTGCAAGTCCGAAACGTTGCCAGTCGAGTAGGCGCTCTTGAGTTCGCAGTTGATACAGGACTCAAAGACGATGCCGGCAGAACTGGACGAGTAGAGGCTGTCATCGCAGGTCATGTCGGAACCCGTAGTGGCCGACAGGACGTTTCCGCAGTATTGCTCGCATGGTGAGTTCGGTGCGACGAGCAGGGCCGTGGCCGGGCCGACCAGGGCCCCCACAGTGACAAGGGCGAGTTTGGACGGCCACATTTTGGGCCGAATTTGTCAAGGACGACAAGGAAGGCGGTGATGTGTAGATGGGCAAAGTCAAGAAAGAAGATCCAAGATATCGAGACGATGGACAGTCTTTCTCGAGGCTTTACAAAGTCTCCAGCATAATGGCGGGGATTGGAACTGGGAAGTAAAACGCGCGTAGAGGGGAAACTCGAGTGAGTAGGACAGAGAGGAAAGCCTCTGATCGTCGTCGGCCCTTTGGATCCTTCTCCACGTTCCTTCGGTAGCACAATCAGTTTCGTTGTACAACCCTCGAAATTTTATAAACCCAGGATCAAATGGCGGCGGAGCAATATATAAGGCTGGAAAAAATATGAGCTGTGGTACGAGGTGTGCGTTCGTGATTGCGTGGCGTTCGAGGTGAGAGTGTTGCAACGTTCGTTTTGTGGTAGACCGTTCACGGAGTTGCAGTCTTTTTGTGAGACGTTCTCCGTGATTGGCGTGAAGAAATCGGGGTCGCAGGTCGCCGGGCGTGTAAAAAAGGAGATATTCACAAGATATGGAACCGTAGAGCCGGGAGCAAAACGAGGAGCAGGTGAAGGGAAGACAACAAAGAAGATTGGAACCGAGAACGGACAAGTGTGAAAAGAGCCTCAGGGGAAAGGGGGACAGAGAAGGAGGTGGAAACAACGTTGTTTGATCCAATATCCGCCGATGCACGATGGGCAATGGCGAATTGAGAATGGAGAGCAGAAGTTGAAAGATGGAGAGAGCTGTATTGCGGTGACGGAGAGAGAGTAAGCGCCAGCTGCAGTGATTGATATATGTGATGTAAGTGTGGACCTTTTTGAGCGCGTATAAACTGCCTGGGAATTGTTTTGAACGTGCGACAGAAGAACTTGTGATGGAGATGCAGCTCGAACGAGGAGAAAAAGCGCGTTGCAGTCCTTTTTTGAATGCCGAAGCTTGCAGTCTAGGGATGATCCGCCCGGGAGAGTTTAGTTTTTGGTTTCTGGTCGTCGAGAGTGGAAAGCGATTTGGGGGCCAGCGGCTGCGGTAGAATTGGCATCAGAGGAAAAAAGAGTGAAAAGTCATAAACTGGCAGAATAAGATCACGGAATACAGAGAAATGCGACGCAAGGAGTGGGAGGCGGACAGAGAGAAGGCAAGATGTGGAAGTGTACGTGGGAAGGTGTGACGAGATGGAGAAGTGACAGAGCACCGACGAGTGCCGGCAAGTGGAGAGAGCACAGACAGACAGCTGGAGAGACAGACAGGAAACAGCAGAGTGTGAAGGGAATTGCAAATAAAAAAGCCCAGCCGGCCTCTTTTCGTCAAGTACGACGACAAGGGGTCTTGAGTGAGATGGCCGCTGTTCTCCACAGCCAAATTGGTGTATCTTTAACGGTGTCTTGCCGTGCAGATGGTTGGTCCTGTTGGATGTGATTGGGGTCCGGCATGAGGGCTAAGTGGCAGGAAGGTAATCTCAGGAGTAGGAAAACACAAACAAAGCAAGAAAGATGATGGCCGGTGGATCCAAGTCATGAGAAATGGTAAGAAAAACCTGTGGCTTGGTGGTCGAATCGGGGGCCGTCTGATGCTGTGCGTCGAGGTGAGGGGTGATGCAGAACACACATGTGGAGGACTGGCGGTATGTGAGAGAGTATTGGAGTACAGGATGCAGGATGCAATGTTTGAGGCTGTGAGAGAGGGCTGAGGCTGTCTGCTGCAAGACTGCTCTTTTCTGTTTTTCAACCTGTCAAGATGCACAACATTGTGGCGAGATGGACTTGGAAGCAGGGCCAAGAAATGGCAAGTGCAAGAGAGAAGAAACAAGCAATCATGCGCGAACCATAGCGTGTCGGGGCCGAATGCGATTTCCGGCTGGGCCAACAAGCAAAATACGGTGCAGGGCTTGTCCTGGCTTGCAAAACGATGGCCAAAAGATGGGCACACCACCCCAGCTCGGAGTGCACGTTGGATGCATCCTTGCTAGCTTTTCTGGCCCGTTTCTCTCACTGCTGGCCTCGCTTTACTTCGTATCACTGTGTCTTCCCCTCATTGCCATGTCATATTGGCGTGGAACAGGGCCAAGCATCGACGCAGCAAGGTAGTGGAAAGGGGGCCCACGAGAGGGCCATCGTTGCAATCCGAAGAGCAGAAGAGGCAACCACCTGGCCGCAAAGACGGTCGAGGAACTCGACGGCTGCACTGAGGGCGACGGGATGGCGATGCTTTGTGAGGGGGGTTGGTTTGCTGGGTGGTTGAGGCCAAGTGGTGTGTGTGGTGGGTTGTGGTGTTGATGGTGGCTTGTCTGGACAGGGGTTGTTCTTTTGCTCGGCGGCTAGAGGTGTGCTTTGGTGTGCTACGGCTTGTGATTGGCTGGGAGATGCTGTCGAGCACCTGCATATCGTGTCCGATGCTTCCTTCCCTCTTTTCCGCTTGCCCTTTCTCGGACGGCCACTGGTCCCTTCTTCTCCGAAAGGAAGGAAAGAGCATCTGGTTCTCCCCGCGAGTAAAGGCTACAACCAAACGAGCGCTCTTTCCGTTTTAGAGTGCGATAATTTGCAGGAAAGTGCGATGCTCTGGTTGTACCTTCTACCTTTGCACCTACTGTTCCTGCCCCAAGCCCATCCACACCCATGCCACCTTCAACGTTCCTTCCCACAATATCCCTGCTAGCCTCCTTGTTTTTCTCAACCACTGGGCGGCCCGAGGTGGCCATGATCCACACTGGTGTGGGGTGACTTCCTTTATTCCTTGCTGCCCATCAAGCCCCGTCCTCTTCTCTCTTTTCTTTTCACCTCTGGCTTCACACTCAAGATCCCTGGTTCAAGCTTTTCAGCACCCGCTCGCCCCCTTCCCAGCATCACAGTTGTGACAACCAGACATCAGGCCCGTGTCGCCATTCGCCAGCACATAGTTCATCACCTTCGTCTGAAAGGCGTTTTCATCATGCTTCACCTTCGTCTGTTTATCGTTTCCGATGTAGTCGGCTCCATGAGAAAAAGTTGACAAAGGTACGGGGTACTGATAAATGCGTAGCTGCAGGTGTGTAGGTCGACTGAGAAACAGCGCCCGTCGGCAGCAAAATAACGGCTCGATGAAGTGATTTTGGCCCCCAAGCGGCAACTAAACAACTTGCGAGAAGTGCGTCGCCAACAACGATTCGTATTGGCTCTCTTTTCTGTTGGCTAGCGCACGTTCCTCTGGTCACTTTCAAAACGTCTCGTCAGCGCTATCTCTCTCTCTCTTTTTCTCTCTTTTTTTTGTTCAGATTTTCGTCAGGCACAAGTCTAATGCAGCTGTCCTATGTCCACCCAGGTTTTCCAAACTATGGCAGACAAAAACATGTTTTGTTTCTCACGGGCTTCTTTATGTCTTGTGCTTTCCCGACACTCGGACAATAATGTTTCATGTATATGAACGCAGATGCGATGGTTCCTGGAAAATCCGGGAGAAGATCAACAGAAACGACGCCGTATCTTGCCTTGATGCTGCCCGGTGGAGAACAGTAAAGAAAGGAGTACCTTTTCTGTACCGTTCGAGTACATCCTGTCCCGTTATCCCATTTTTGTGCCTGGCGTTGTCTGTAAAAGTATGTGGCATTCATGGACATTCATATTTCATGTTGCGCCTGTTTTTGAACCCTCCCCTCCGGCCATTTCTTAAGAAAATATTGCTATGCGCCCTGCCAATATTAAAGAAAAAATATGATATCACAATGATGTGACGACGACATGGACGGGGCTTGTTGTACCCTCTCCAGAACCGTGTCGGGAAATTTTGTAGTGCGCCACAGACAGAAGTCGTATATCCACTATGGACCAAGCGCTTTGGCGAGGAGAGGTCTATTAACTGTTTGAAAAACAATATAATGACTTCCCATATCGGCCGAGAAACCAAACGGGCTCGCATGACGCCTGGCGCGTAAAAGCATACTGTGTTCGTGGTGGTACGTCGTAGTGCTCTGTGCCCACGTCGGATGATCTGGGGAAAGTTGAATGTCGACAGGCCAACAAAAGATAGCTTGGATTTCTCGATTCTGACAAGCAAAAGGGGGTTGCGCTTTGCACGACATCGTTCGGTTGCAAGTATGTCTCTTACGATGTGGGAATCAAAATGGCCGTTATGTCTGGGAAGGTTGCCTTCCACAAGTCGTAAAATTTCAGAGATAAAAACGAGACTTCGATAATTGCAGTACACCGTGTACATCCATGATGTGAAGTAAATGTCCCTAGGCCATAAATTCCATAGTTCGATATGCCGTCAGTAAGTAACACCAAAGACCATCTGAACTCCTTGTTTGAACAGGATGAGAGATGCAGACCATAAATAACGCGCAAAAGCATCTTAGGACGAGAAAAGGAAACGGAAAAGACAAAAAAGAGGAAGATGTTAAGAGAAAATGAAGGCCTGCAAAAAGGCCAAAAGCAAAAAACATATAAGTAAACCACAAAAACACCTCGCTGGTATATAAAACCAAAAAAAAAAAAAAAANAAAAAAAAAAAAAAAAACAAAAGAGCAAAAAGTAAAAACAAACGGAAAGAAGTAAGATCACCAGAAAGTCCAGTGCCGACATTGATCAAGCAGCTGCTGGCGTGCCCTCTTCCTCATTTGTGTCGAATTTCATAGCGGTCGGGGTAGGAGGATTGAATTTCGGCGCAGCGCGATCGTGTCTCTTGGAATCGAGTGCATACGTCGCTGACTCGGCACGGGGGTCTGGGCTCGACATCGTCTCCACCAGCTCGCGAAGATGGGGCGGCAAAATAATTTCATAAATCGGCTCCTGGGCGTTGTCGCCTTGTGCCGTGGGCGCTTGTGAAGGATGCCGTTGTTGTTGTTGTTGTTGTTGTTGTTGTTGTTGTTGTTGTTGGTGCTGCTGCTGCTGCTGCTGCAAAAGGAGTTGCTGCGATGGCGGTTGCTGCTGGTTCGATGCCCGGATCCCGGTCGTCCCTTGTCGCTGCTGCTGCCACACTGGCTGTTCCCGCTGCTGCGAAGACTGCCGACTTTGCCTCGGGTCTTGGCCTTGGCCCTGGGCCTGACTCCTGTTTTGGGTCTGACTTTGACTCCGATCATGCTTCATCGTTTGACGTTGTGACTGCGGCTCGAGAGACGGGGCTCTTGAGTCATGGGTCGGACAGCCGTTCCGGATGACGTTGATCATTGCGATAATCTCGTCGCCAGGATCCAAGGGCGGCTGCGTGTGTGCCAATGGAGGTGTTCCGAGAAGCCAAGATGATGATGAGTTGGTGGACTGGGACTGATCACGCGATGGTAGAGCTGACGACAATGCCGACCGAGAAACGGACGCAGTTGCTCGACTGCTCGAAATCTGTCTTCCGCGATCCATACTGCCCGACGTGCGCCTGGATTGTCCATTGGGACCTGGTTTCGTCAGCGTGCCAGTACCGCTGGCCGCATGTCCTTGGGAAGTGGGTTGGCGGCCTCGGCTGACGGGGCGCAATGGCTGCTTGATGCGTGTGCCCGACCCGCTTGCTCGTTGAGAGGGCGTGTTGTTTCCGGTCGGGGTTGATGAGTACACATTTGGAGAGTTCGCTCGCCACGCCTCTATGTAACTAGGGTCCAATTGATATCTCGACTCGGATGACTGCCGGCTGTGTCCAGACCGGGAAGATGGGCTGAGATCTGTGGCTTCTTCTGACCGAAGATGGATTGGAAGCTCAGATCGCCGTGTCCGTGAGTGCGAGACCGTCTGTTGACGGAGGTCAGTAGGACTGGTCGAGAAAAGGCTGGCCATGTGTGATTGGCTCATGCTCCGACGCAGATTGGCCTTGTCGGAACCTCTGGAGAATCGGGAGGCGGTTGCGTTGCTGGGCCTTGCAGACGATGGGTGCTCAGGGTGCTCAGGGTGAGCAGACGGGCTAAACATGGCAGATGACGACAATTTGTTGCTGGCATGTACTAAACGAGAAAATTCCTCTTGAGCCTGAGAGATCGATTCCTCCTCTTGACTCTCCATCTGAGAAAATGGCCACCCGAAGAGGATGACGTCGTCCAAGTCGGGCTGGCAGAACATGGAATCTCTTTTGGAGCCACTGTCTGGAACGTCCAGGTTGCGACGAACATCGGCCCAAATCGAATCGTACGTCGTGGACGTGGGGATGGCGCTCATAATTGCAGGGGTTACCGACACAGGTGCTTGTGACCTGGTTTGGTCTGCTTTTGTTGAGAGCGACGAGGCTCTTGGACGATGGGTCTTTTTAGGGTCGGTTTTGAGATTGCTTTGCTTGTCGACGCCGTTCACTTGTCTATGCGGCTGTTTGTTGGCTACCGCATGGTCTCTGGGATCTGGCGTGCTGATTTGAGTGCTTTCCTCCTTAAGTGGGCGAAGGGGCGATGCTCCAGAGGCCGAGGTTGGGCCGCGCGCTTTCTCCTTTGTTCCGGATCTCGGTGGTGGTGTCTCGGACGTATAGGACCTTCTCGCCTTGACAGTAACGTCTCCGTGCGCAATGCCGTCTGTCTTCGCGGGTGTAGATGAGGGCTTCACATCTGGCGTGTTGAAATAAGGCCTCACAGACATGGGCGTTGGGCTGGGAGCAGTGGGAGTGAGGACATCGCCTGCCACAACAGCAGGAGGCTTTCCTTGCCGGTTCTGCGTGGCGTGACGAGAGTCGTTTAACTTTGACAGGGATCCGGCAGTCCCCGTGCTGTACGGTATTTGCAGCTCGAGTCTGGGCATCTGGTTTCTCGGCGGCATAGCCCCCGAGTGAGAATAGAGGCTGGGAGCGGACCCGTGCGATGCAGCGGTCGACATAATCTCCCAGGCATCATCAACGTCTTCGTTCTGTGTTCCTTGAGCTGCTCCACCATCGTGCTCCTCGGAGGCACCATCGCCACGAAACGGATGAAATGCTTGTCTTGGCGGAAATGGTGTCGATTTCCGAGAGACATTTGGCGAGGATCCTGCAATGCTCTGATTTGAGTCGTATCCGTCACTTTCGGCAGCACCAGGCCGCCGGCCATGGCTGGTTCTGAGCAGCTTGGCGAGGGGTGGGTTGTTCGTGTCAACCACGAGCACCTCCTTCAGGCCGCGGCCGAGGACACCATAGATGTTGACCTCGCCGTTCTTGATACCGATGACAGAGCTCGTGCCTGCGTAGACGGCATCGCCTTCCATGCCACATCGGTTACAAAAGACGACAACGATCTCCTCTCTGGACCCTCTGCGGATGAGGGGCTCCAGGCGTTGCACCCAGTATTCGAGGGTCTGGAAATCAGGCTCTTGCGGGATTTCTGAAATTGTTTCAGCATTTTCGCGTGTGAGCCATGCCATGGTGACGATGACCAGGTTCGCCTTGATCTCGAGGGCGTGAAAGGCAAACTCAAAGTTATGCCATGGCGCCTCGAATTTATAGGGACTGGCGATGTCAGGTTAGCAAAGTATGCGATTTACATGGTACGATCTCGTTACCATCGACAATTCATAGCATAGACGACGTACTTCAAATCCATGCCTAGGAGAACACGTGGTTAGCAGGATGTCGATGGTGGCAGAAATACAGGGAGGAAAGTTGGACAGTCGCTGGTTTGCACTTACAAATGCCCATGGCAACATCGCCGAGCCCGTCGATGTGGCCTTCGAAGAAGCCATCCTGACCTTCGAGTGCCCACGTCTCGTCGACGGCGTAGAGAAACGACTTGCGGTAGTTGCCAATGGTTTCGCCGTCCTTGCTCACGACGATGGCGGCATTGTAGAACTCGGGCGAGGCCGGCCACTTGTGGGACACGTCGACTGTTTCGGGGTAGCCGACGATGACATTGCAGTTCAATCTGAGCGCGGTCGTCTGCGCCCACAATGCGCTGATGCCCCGGCCGGAGTGTTCTAGAAAAGGGCTGATTTCGCTCAAGGACCGGAAGTTGTAGCCTGTTCAATTTGTTAGACGACGGGATCCGGGACAAGAGGGTCATGTCCCGCCAAAGGACCAACGGCGTACCGGTAAAAGCCAGCTCAGGGAGCACAAGAAGGTCAATGTCCTCGATGTTCTGCGCCTTGTTGAGGATGTCGTCGGCCCGGTTGAGGTTGTTGCCGACATCGCCGACCTCTGGGGCAAATTGTAGGCAACCTATCTTCATGTTGTCGTCGTGTCGGGCAAGGGAGACTGGCCGTAGAATGCATCAACGGAGTGGGCACGGGAGCAGCTTGCGTTTTATATGCTGAGAACGATTGCGAGATGCAAATGCCAGTCGTCCCTGGACGGTCTGTGTTCGGTGATGGGACAATAAATGGCGCAAACGCCAGACGGCACACAGAAAACGAGACGTCGACGGAAAAAGGAACGGGTTCAAAGACAAGCCCTGGATCGGGAGTCGTGAGAGGTCAACAGTGTCTTTGCTCGCGACAATAATGCGACGCAACCCACGCAGCCCACGCAGCCCACGCAGCCCACGCAGCCCACGCAAACCACGCAAACCACACGAACCGACGGATCAGGCGCTACAGCCGGCGATTGCCACCGCGACAGTGTGAACTCCCGACGAAGCATGTATGGTATTGAGAGGGGCGGAAGAGAGGAGCCCAAGAGACTCTTGAGTTCGAAGATATGACAAGGGGACAAATGCAAACTCTGGGAAAGAGAGAAACGAAAGAAATGCGGAGGGGGCTGAAAAGGGAAGCAGCCCTATGTAAGCACTTGGGAAATGGCGGAAGGACCGACGATGGTGGTAAGGCGACGGGGCAGGAAGGAGACAGAGGGGCGAGCGGCAGGGTCCAGTCCCAACAGGCCCTCCTAGTCTAGCGGCCGTTTAATGATGCTGGTTGGTGTTGGCTATCTGGGGTCGAATGTCCACCAAACTCCGTGGAGGAAGGACAATGCTGTGCCCCTGTGCCCCTTGCCAGTAGCGGGGCGTGCTGCAAATGGCATTCTGTACTCCGTAGTCGACGGAGTATTCCGTATCACCATTTATGTCGGGATAAAAACCGAGAGAAGGTGTATCGAAGCAGGTGAGTAAATTTGGGGGCCGTCTCCATTGTCAAAAGCAAACATGGGAAATGGGCATCGCACTTGGCGGGGAGAGAGGGGGGGACGTCGCTGACAGGGAAAAGCACGAGGCAGAGGAATGGAGTTGGGGGCCAAAGCGCTTACCGTTTTTGCGGGCAGGCGAATGGGAAGCGAGATGGGCAGCTTCGGTTTCCAAGAAAATGGAATACTCCGCAATACTGCCCAGATTTTGACAAGAAATGTGTCTACGTCGACGACGTACTCTCATGTCTTTCCGAGGAAATTGTGCCAACAGCATAGGGATTTTTGTTTGTATTTGCGCTGTTCAAAGCAGTTTACACTCCACCAGCTCGCAAGACACGCTTGTTTCTTATCTTCCCAGCCAGGCTCTAGAACATGCCGACACACGACATCCTGGGGTCGGTCCAAGGAAAAGCAGGAAAAAGTGACTTAAATCCCGTGTGCCAGAAAGTAGAAAAATGGCCCGAGAGGCTAGGTGTTGCATTCATCTTGCGCCGTCAGCCAAAGGACGAAAGCAACTCCTTGTGTCGTTTTTCTTGTTGGATGAATGGACCAGGTGTGCGTACCGTGCAGATTGTGACAACGAACCAGGTGCTGTACGTTGGGCAATAAGTGGAGCATATGCTTCTCCTTTTGACGTGGGGGACGTGGTGGAGGGTAAGGCTCCGTCGGCTCGTCCCTGATGTGGACAAGTGCAGAGGAGAGGAGAGGGAAACAATACTTGAGTCGGACTGGTACTGGTGCTTCTTTGTTGTAAACCTATCATCGTGGCTTGGTATGTTTCCCAGACAAGCCACAACGTCGGCATTAGCCGCCAACAAATCAGAGACAAGAATGCCAGTTCAAAAGACGAGATACGCATGTCATATGATGAGTGAAAAATAGGGGGCGGAAATCTAGGATCACTGCATGGATCACTGCATGTGCTGTACTATCGTCATTTTAGTTTTGCCCCATATCTGCCGCCTGTAGGAGGTAAAATAAAATACTGAAATACTGCAAAAATGCAAAAAGTGAACAATTTCACATGTATGTGATAGATACAGAACGCTTGATAGTCCGAGGCAGCTAGGGCGTATTCGTCCTTGTTGCTGAATCAGAGGTGGGTTTTCTGTGCGTGTTTTAATTCTTCCTTCTCCTCCTATTATGTTGTTGCCTACGCCTCTGCAGAATATAACTGGGCATTGCTATTGCTAGCCGCCGAGCTGTGTCATCGTCTCAATACCGTGTAATATCTCTAGAGACGACATGAATTCTCATAGTCATATCAACACTCTGTACAAGTTCGTACGAAAACATACGAGAACACTGTTGCGCCTTGACCATTATTCTTTCCTGTGCAGACGTTCGCTCAAAACCGATAAGAAAGATGCTAAAAATGCGTAATTGATTCTCCATACCGACTACCCAGTTTTGCATGCTCTGAGATCAAACAGCTAATTTTGCTGCTTCTCTCCTATGGCATGTACGATATCATATTTCCTCATAGAACAACATGCCCTTTCTTCTGTCCTCGTTTATTTTCCCTTCTCATCTTTACGAGATCCATATGACTAACAGTCGCAAGTCTGGACAATTCCGGGCCCAACAGATGCAAGAGAAACATTTGGAAGGAGGGAGTTGACAGAGTCCCAACCGTACCAAGCCTCCATGGTTCTGTCGGGGCTATGAATGACGTTGTTAGCAGGCGCTGTCGGTATTGTCTCGAGAAGAAGATGAATCCCCTTACCTGATCAGAGTGGCCACAGCAGAATCAGTCTTCTCATCGTATCCCCAAGAGAAGTACCAGTCACCTTCCTGGCACTGCTCCGTAGACCAGCTTGCAAACATGGGCTCGACGTCCTCGTCAAGGTCGACCTTGATGTGACATGGGATGGGTTCCTGGTATTCGGGGAGAACCTCAATTTGAAAACCAATCACGACGGCGTTGGGCCCGTACGAGACAGCTGTGATGCGGTTAGTATATTGATGGGGACAACGTTGGAGCTTTGAACATGCAGAAGCACACCTCTCGTAACATTGTGGAGGCTCCATGTGATAGGAATCTCTGGTACTGTGGGCAAACCATCACTGTAAATAGGACTACTGGTGACTGGTTTCGCAGAGATGTCATCGCTGTCATCGTCATCGCCACTTCCTTGAACACTCCCAAGTTGTTCTGGAATGGCATCTTGGACCGTCTCAAGAGGAGAGTCTGTCGCATTCGCAGATGCAGAGACCGTAACATTGGCAGGCAAACCAGAACGTGTATCCACGGCGTCTGTTTCTTGGGCGGAAGAAATATCTTCGGGATTGGTTTCGTCTTGGGACGTAAAATCGTTGCCGTTGGAGACTTCGGTCATGCCACTGTCATGGAGAACGGCGTCCTGGATGGTTGTATCAATGGGCACGCCCGGGTCGGCACCATCGCTGCTGGGATTAATGTCGGTTGGCGCAGTAGTAGTCTGGACATCGACAGGAGAAACACCAGCGTCTTCGATGGCATAGACCTGCGAAGCACCGTTCTCGTATAGGGGATACATTTCTGGAGCATTGGATACACTGTCCTCAGCATTAGCAGACTCCCCGGACGAATCAGTCGTGGCATTACCAAGATCGGCAATGTCAGGGACTTCGTCGCGTGTGTGAATTTGCGGGAGAATGATCGCTTCAGACACTGCAGATGGAACAACAACGTAGGCGGGGGAACGATGGGTTGAAGAAAAGCTGCCATCCACCAGTTCACTGTCGGGGATGTCAAAGTATCCGCGGCGGTTGTTGCTCGTGTCGTCAACGGTGAAGACCATGTAGCCGTTGTCGCTCCAGCTGGCCCCGCAGCGGTAGTTGTTCATCTCTTCGCAGGGAACATCAATGAAGGGACTTCTGACGGCGCCCTTGTCGTCCTCTCCATGTATGACAAAATGGCAGAAAGACGGGGCCGTGGGCGGGCCAGCCGAGGACTCTTGTGCGATGGTGAAGCCGTAGACACACATGTTGTCATCATTGGAACAGTCCCAATGGAAGCCACGGATTGTCCATTCAGTAAAGCCATCCCTCTTGGCTAAGGGTGCGGCCTGGGCACCACTCTATAGCTGCCCAAGGACGAGGGCCACTGGCAGGAGGCGAGAAAGCATGGCGATACGAGATATATGCCAATGGGCTTGATATAAGTACGGGATATTGGTGAAGATGTGAGACGGTATGAATCTAAAATGGAAAGGCAATGCGGTGGGCAGATAGCGAAAGGGACGCAATTGAATTCATCAATATAAACAATGGCAGATATGCTTGGAAGATGCGGTGGTGATGCAAGGATCGAAGTTCGGCACGTCCATATACCTCACAGCGAAGCACATTTGTTTGTTTTGACCACATCTGTTTCCCCGGCTGCCCCAAGGTAAACAACAACATGAAAGCGTGGGAAAGTGCGAAGAGCTGTCATGACCATCGCCGTTTCTCGGATTGGAAACACCTGACTCAATTCCAGTACTTGCGGCGCCGTGCTCCTTCCCCCAGGATGACTGCGCTGAGGATCTTTTGCTCCTGTCTTTGACACATGCAAGGATGTGCCTTCCTCCTTGTGCATATCATCTGTCTTGGGATTGGCCATATACGTCATATTGGTCTGTTTCCGTTTCGGAATTGAGAGACGGAGGGCAAGAGCAGCCAAAATCCGAACCTCAACGGAAGGTATCGAAAGACCACTTTCCTTTTGGATTAAGTATGACGCAGAAAGTCACTGCTTCTACGAAAGGACTGGACATGTGATGCTTCTCACGTTGTTCTTCCTCAATAAAATTCCATATAGAGTGCACGACGGCACCCTGGGAAGATTGACTGGGGAGAAACTGATGTTGTCGCAGTTCGTTCCTACCCTTCACTTTACTATGTACCTTTCCCACTGGTTGCCCGTCGAGGCGAGAAAAACGCTGTTCGTCATCAAGTTGGTCACATCGGCCCTCAATTAGTGGCTCTGCGCGGCAAACTGGCCTGTAAACGGCGACGATGTCGAACGAGACGAGGGAACGCAGAACCTTTCAAAAACAGATCACCTCTCTCGGCCCTCGTCTCGCATCTCGCATCCCGCTCTGTCCCTTGACCCCTGTTATTTCCAGCGCTGTTTCTATGTTTCTCCCAGCGGCCATTGGGTAGAACTGCAGAAACGCCCTTTCATCGTGCTTGAGTGTGGTGGGCGGCAAGACCCCTGCACAATGGATCCTCTTTCATGTCCAGTGGATCGGTGATTGGCCAAGATCCAACCTCCATCGGGCCACTTTCATGGGCCGGCGTCTAAGTTGCAAAAAGCCTGGACCAAACACGATTGCGATTCCCCACTGTACATTTGTGAGAGGCGAGATGCCACTGGGCGCACGCGACGTCCCCCAAGAGAGCGCGGGCGACGAGACTCAGAAGACAAATTGTGGTCCGTCTCGCCGTCCGAAGGCGACCAATAGGAAGATCACTCGAGCGTCCTTGATCCACACCTTGTGGAAAGATGAGTTGCATCCCACCTCCAATGTCAACGGAAGGAGTGACACAGGCGCCTACATGGCCGAAAACAGCATGGGTGCGATCCCATGTTTCTTCGGATCTGTTCTTTTTGCTGCCCACGTCGTGCGTAGGACAGGCAGGTTGAAGTGCATTTCTTGTGTGGCTGGGCAGCCTGGATGCTGCAGCGTGGTCCGGGGGCTGTTGGCTGAGCATTCTTCTGTGCACGTTAACCGCCTGCATGTGCTCTTGACGCACGATTGACCAGCATGTCTCTATGTGAAAGGAACACCACGACAGCCTTCGTTCGTGGTCCTGGCGGCTCTTTGAAGGAAGATACGGAGCACTGTTCCTCAATGGAGGTGGAAATCAAAGAAAATGGCTTGCATACCTCCGACCCTGCTTGAACGACTGGTCCAATGTTTCTTCGTTTTTAAGTTTCGTTTCTCCCCATATCAAAGTTTAATCTGAAGTTGTTTCAAAACATCTTTTGAGCTTTGCTTTCTCTGTTCCATTCTCCTTTTCTTGTTTTCTCTTTCTCTGGCATGATTGTCTTTTTGCTTCGTTGAGTTCGCTTTCGCCGCCTTGGGGCTTCGCTTCACACCTTTCCCCTTCGCCAGCTTCTTGTCTCTTATTCTACCTGCGCACCGGCCAATCCGTTTTGCTGACAGCGCACTCTCGACTCTCGGTTGCTGGCAACTCATAACGGCGAACAGAATATCCAAAATCGAGACAATATGAAGCCGTCGTCCATCCCACCAAGGCCACCGGGCCTCCTTCTTCCAGCCATTATTAGTCTCTTCGCAGCTTCATCCACAGCACTGCGGGTCACGCCTGGATCCGCCTGTGCTTCATACTGCCTCGATAATGGGGACGACATCGGCCAGTCCGCCAACTCGACAACCACACCTTCTGATATTGTTTGCAACGACGACGACTACTGGTCCACGACGGTCGGAACCAGGTACAGAAACTGCCTTGCCTGTCTCCAGAACAGTACGGCTGTTAATGGATCTCAAAGCGATGTGGAATGGTACTTGTGTAAGTTTTTATTCTCTGCTGTTCTCAGGAAAAAGAAAGAACAGTTACTCATTTTCAATACTAGACAACGTCCGCTATGCCGTCGACGTATGCCTTTTCTCGTCGCCGGGACCAAGCTCCTCCCACTCCTCGACGTCTTCGCCATGTGTTCTGTCAGGCACCTGTCTTTCACTGCAGAAAGCACTGGATACCGGAAATGTGAACCCGAGCAACGAGACACAGTACCAGTATTGCACCGCCGATGGCGGAGTATTTGGACGGACGGCTCTGAGCAACTGCGCCCAGTGTTTGCAAACCAACTCGGAGCAGACGTACCTCTCAAACTGTACGTACTGACCATGGGCCCAGGTTTTTCTGTTTGATCTTTTGATGCTAAAACTCTTTTCAGTCTTGACGGCTCTCTCCGCAGGCTGTAAGCAGAAGCCTGCCCAAGGTGAACTTTTGGGGCTCAATGGCACTCTGTTTTCCACGACGGCAATGAGCATCGTCGCTCCGTCCTGGAACCAGACCAGCCCCGGTCAAGCTACGTCGGTTACAGCGTTGACCACGGGGACGATTGTTGGCATTGCGGTCGCTGGTGCGCTTCTCCTGCTCGGCGCCGCCGTTCTGTTCTTTCTTTACTGGAGAAAGCAAAAGCGTGCTGAAAAGAACGCGTTCTACATGTACCGGCCCGAGAGTGGCCAGTTTCACCCCGTCAAGAGCATCTCATCGTCGGTCAGCGGCGGTGCGGCGCCGTTTTATACAACCGACTACAAGTCACCGCCTGCCGACCAGCGCAACTTTGAGCTCTACGACAAAATCAAGACGCAGCACGTGGTCCTTCCCGAGAGAAAATCCCACGAACCGAGAACGGCGGGGCCGGGCACGGCAGCACTTTGGGGCCGCGACACACCCGTGCCAACACGGCAACAGTTGCTCTCCCCAAAGACGGCCCACATACCCATGTCGGAGCACAGTGCCGGTGGTGATCTAAGCGGGCCGTTGGATGGCATGCCCACCCACCCGGCGTTCATCCCGCGAGCATTTACGCGTGCAAGCCGCAATCCCATGGCCCAGCCGGAGCCAAAGTATGGCGTAAAGCCGAACAAGGCGGACACCTATGCTCTTCAGCGCTACCTCGATACGGTCCAAGACCTGTCCAAAGTGGACGTGGAGGCGTTGCTTTCGGTCCCTCCCCCCCCGCAGTACGCGCGTGCCAGCACCGTTGCCGCGGCCTCCAACCCGTTTGCGACACCCCAGGGCGTACCCATGACCATCCCCCCGCCACCGCCGGGTCCTCCGCCGGGGACAATGTCGAAGGACAACGCCGGTCCCAAGTTGACGCCGTCGCTGGTGACACCGTCGTTGAGCCGCATTCGCAGCCCCAAAATGTACATCCCGCCACCTCTAAATATCACCGCGTCCAAGCCCAAGGCACAGCGTGTGGATTCGGACTCGGACGAGCCCAAGTAAGGCGGGAAAAGGGGCATTGGAAAGCGGATTGACTGTCATTTTTTTTTTAAATTTTTTTGTACTTGTTTTGGGCTGGCTTAATTGTGTGCTTGGATTTTATTTACTCTGATGGGATTGTCACGGCAGGCTGTTCTCTGGATCGGGGCGTTTCAACAGGTTTTGGATACGGATACGCATTTAATGAACAGCAATGGGTATACTGGTGCTTTGGCTTTGCATGTCCCTTACTAGTAAGGGCAGGAACTTTGCAAACTGGCTGGCACACTGACTATCACTAAAACTATTTGTAACAAATTGTATCGAACAAAGTCGAATATCGTTATTGAAAAAAGAAGCATCAAAAAGGCTGGACACGCTGACTGATAGTACAGAAGGGATGTATGAGAGGTTTAAAGTGGCATTTGAATTGGACCAATACAATATTCACACCATCTGGCAAAAAAGATCGTCTTCCGAGTCTTTAACTCTAGTCACCGCCGAGACGGTTGCCCTTGCCGCGTGTCTTCCACGCATCCGGCAGAAGGCCACCCGTGGATGCACCAGTGGCGCTCCCCGACTCGGTAGGCGGACGGAAGGAATGGCCGAAGCCGTGGTCCTGGACACGGCCCGGCGTGGAGATAAGGCGCGACATGAAGGCCGGCGTGGGCAGCAAGTTGGAGCCGCCGCCAAACTCGGGCCACAGACGGGTCAAGAAGTCGTACAGATGCGCGGCGACGAGGCCGCACAGCTGCAACAGGGCAACTTGGGGCCCTGCGACGAGCAGCGACACCAGCATCATGCTGTAGGGCACGAGCTGGGCGGGGATGGTGATGAAGAAGAAGTTGGCCTTTTGGCCGCGCTGGTCCTGGGTGCAGGTGTAGGCGAGGCCCAAAATAAGACCCTGGAGGTGGAAGCCCGAGTTGAGGCCAGCCAGGTAGTCGAAGAGCTGCGCTTGTTAGTCGAAACTGGCCAACGCCAAAGGACACGAGCAACAATGACGAAGCAAAAATGTAGAAAACGAAAAAAGAAAAAAAAAAGAACACCCGGTTGGTGTTGGAATGTAGGGCGCTAAAAAACCACCCGGGGGCCATGGGACGGCCCCGCGAGTCATCCATAAGACATCCCACCCATGTCCAGAGCCCCGGACCGACCCTCTTGTATATATGCGAATGACGGGCCGACCAAAGCTCTGGGGGTACTCTCCCTCATTTCCAGGAACCGTGATAGTAGTGGGGTCAAAATGTAGCACTATCCGGGCAGATATATGAGGTGCACAATGTGCAAAGGGAAGGGAAATACAAATGCAGAGGGGCACAGGGAGATATCCGGGGCGGTAAACGTACCAACACAGCGACCCCGATAAAGGCCATGTACCAGATCAAGTCCTCACGCCGCGAGAAGCGCGCATTCCCGACCTCCAGCTGCGAGAGGTAGGAGTAGAGGAAGTACGGGTCCAGCAGGATCGACAGACCCGGCAACGTGACCATGTAGGCGGTCACGATCCGCCACGGTTCCGGGAACAGCTTGAACACGGCCGAGGGGTGGAAGTACATCCAGCGGCCCGGAAGAAAGCCGAAGTGGACGGCGACGGAGGAAGCGAGGACGGCCGTAGCGACAGTTCTACGAGACGCGGAATGTCAGCAACGGAAGCTTGATTTGATACGAACAAGCGGCGATCCAAGCAGGAGAGGGCGGCGAAACGTACCTGGCCACTGGGGGCGTCCGCCAGTATGCGTCCTTCAACTCATCCATTGCGTCGTAGCAGTATTCCGACCCGACGGCAATGTGTAGAGGATGTGATTTGGGCTGATGGAGAGAAGAGAGGTTGCGTAAAGGAATGGGTCGATCACGAAAAGACACGGACGAGTTTTCGGCAATCCAGTTCAGTTTTGAAATGGGGAGTGGAGTGGACGTGGCAGGAAAATGAAACTTGGTCTAGTTCATCGAGGGCAGAAGAACCCCGAGCCAGCAGCAGGCTGCCGTGATGACGATGTGGTCATTCTTGGGGGGGGAAGAATCGAAGGGGAAGGGGGAGAGGGGGAGAGAGAAGCTGCCGAACGGGAATCGTCCGACAAATTAATCTCGGCCGCGGAGGGAAAGAGAGACCAAGAGAGCGTAAATGTGTTCTTTTTCTTCCAGGCAGGCAAAGAGAGGAAGGAACGAGGGAAGCACACCGAATCCGCCGCAGTGCTTTATAATTTTTTTTAGCGGGTAACTTGCAGCGACCCACAGGGGCAGTTGAGCCACAACATCATCTCCTTGGCTGTGGCTGGCCCTACGCGATGCTGATTGGCTGGACGGCGACCAAATTTGGGAGCTATGGAAAAAAAAGCGTCAATGGAGAGCCATTGAGAGGGCATCGCGAGACCACCCGCATCGGCGACACTGCTGCGTTTCAAGCCACCCACGGGCCCAATTTCGACGCCAGGGTATCCAGGGCAGCCAGACCACTATACATTGCCGACATATACGTTCCGATATAACCCCCTCACCCGCTCTCCCCTCACAACGACCACAATGGCGGCGGTCGTGAACGGCTCGAGGCGGCTGCTCACACGGTCCTCGACGAGCCTCGCCCTCCTCCCGGCCCGACCAAGGCCAACCACGCTCGCGGGCCTGACTGCGGCACACCTCTCTGCGACTCCCTCCTCCTCCTCCGCCTCCGCCTTCTTCTCCACAACCGCCGTCCAGGCCAAGGGCCCTGTGCAGCACATCCGCAGCGGCAAGCAGGTCCAGAATGTCCGCAAGAAGAGACAGGTGGCGCACAGCGGCAAGCCTATCCTGCCCGGCGAGCGCAAGGCATACCGGAAGCGCATTGTGCTGAGCAACAGCAATGCGCTCGAGGTGCCCGGTCTGGAGGAGCTGACGGCAGAACACCTGGTGCCGTCGTCTTCATCATCATCAGAATCAATAGAGAAAGTCCAAAATGCCAACACGGCCCGCATGCTGGCGCTCCCCGACACCGTTGTCGACAAGCTGCGCGCCATTGAGGCGTTCAAGGCGACGCAAAACTTCCACCTGTTCCGGCGGCCGAGTCTGCTGCTGCGCAGCGAGGCGGCCGCGCTGGCCGACCGGCTGCAGCGCGACGTGGCCGGCAACAAGCAGACGGTCCGGCTTGTGATTGACGGCGAGCGCATCACCGGCAAGTCGACGCTGCTGATGCAGGCCGCCGCGCAGGGCTTCCTTAACGGCTGGCTGGTTGTCAGCATCCCCGAGGCCCAGGAGCTGACGACGGCGTGCACCGAGTACGCGCCCGTGCCCAACACGAGCCCGCTGCAGTTCACGCAGCCCAACTACACGCTGCGTCTGCTGCAGGCCGTGCTCGCCGCCAACGGCGACCTGCTCGCCAAGTACACCACGTCGCGCGCCTACGACGACCTCGTCAACCCCGTGGCCGCCGGCAGCACCCTGCACGACCTGGTGTCGGCCGCCAAGGAGCCCGACCACGCCTGGCCCGTCTTCCAGGCCCTGTGGGCCGAGCTGTGCGACCCGAGCACCACCGCGCTGCCGCGCCCGCCCGTCCTGTTCACGCTCGACGGCCTCGCCCACATTATGCGCGTCAGCGACTACCGCGCGCCCAGCTTCGAGCGGATCCACTCGCATGATCTGCTGCTCGTGCGCGCCTTCGTCGACGCCCTCGGCGGCGCCACCCCGTTCCCCCACGGCGCGGCCATTTTGGCGGCCACGACGCGCAACAACGCGCCGCTCAACCCGACCATGGACTTGGCCATCCGGCAGCGGCTGGCCGAGCAGAGCAAGGCGGACGACATCCCGCAGCCGGAGCCGTTCTTCCGCCACTACGACGACCGCGTGTCGGCCGCGATGAAGACGGTCGAGGCGCTGGAGCTCAAGGGCCTGAACAGGACCGAGAGCCGCGCGCTGCTCGAGTACTGGGCGGCGAGCGGTGTGCTGCGGGAGCGCGTGGACGAGGCCCAGGTCGCGCAGGCCATGATCCTGTCCGGCAACGGCGTGGTGGGCGAGATGGAGCGGGCGTATCTGCTGAGCCTGCGGGTGTAAGACGTGTTGGATTGCAATGGGCGATGTACAGAAGAAGACGAAAACATAACTGTATCATAGTATATCAAAACGAAAAGCAACCTTCATCTTTATGTTTTCCTCTGCATAAAACAACTGGCATAAGCGGGGGCTGCTAAAAAGCCAATTCTTTGAAATACGTATCATTTGATCCCCCTTTCCTTGCTTCCCAAAACGCCGGGCCTTTTAAAGAAAAGACAGCAGGACAACACAAAACCTGGGCATTACATAAAAGCATTATATGAACAAAAAAAACAACATGGAAACCAAAAAGACACAGCCTCGGTTACTCGTCGTCCTCCATGTCGTCTTCGGCATCGTTGGACGTGATAAAGACAAGCCGGCTCATGTTGCCGGCCGTCTGCCACACGTCGACCGCCGCGTACTCCTCCAGCGCCGTCAGCCACTGGTCCTCCGTGAAGCCCTTGGCAATGACGCGCTCCTTGACGCGGCGCAGGCTCAGCTCCACACCGCGACCACCACGGGCCAAGTCGTCGTCATCGTCGTCGTCGCCGTCGTCGCCGTCGTGGCGGTCCGGCCGGCACGCGCCCGTGTCCGCCAGCGACTTGACAAAGTTGTAGATGCGGCTGCTGGCGTTGGTGCCACGGCGGCCGGCACCGGGGCCGGCGCCGCCGATGATCTCGGCGTTCAGGCTCTCCTTGCTGGCCTCGATGAGCCGCAGCGCCTCGTCGACGTCGTAGCGGTCGACGGCGTCGCTGAACCGCAGGCGCGCCAGCGCCTGGGCCAGGCGCACGACACCCAGCAGCGTACGCGGGGTCGTGTGCGTGAACTGCTTGCCGCGCTTCTCGGCGCGTTTTTGCTGGTCGCGCATGCGCACGTACGTCTTGACCATGTACTCGGACACCTCCTCGGGCACGACGGGGCGGAACGTGCGCGCGCGGGCCACGTACGCGCGCACCTCGTGCGGCGTGAAGACGACCTCGTCGGCCGTGCCAATGTTGGGGTGGCGGCTGTGCATGTGCACGTAGGCGACGTGCTTGGCCAGCTGGGCGTCGGTCTCGCGCGACGGCGTGTCCAGCAGCAGGAAGATGATGTCGAAACGCGACAGCAGCGCCGCCGGCAGGTTGATGTTCTCGACCGGCGAGATGCGCGGGTTGTAGCGGCCGTAGACCGGGTTGGCCGCCGCCAGGACCGACGTGCGCGCGTTGAGCGTGGTGCTGATGCCCGCCTTGCTGATGCTGATCGTCTGCTGCTCCATGACTTCGTGGATCGCCGTGCGGTCGGTCTCGTCCATCTTGTCGAATTCATCGATGCAGCAGATGCCATTGTCCGCCAGCACCAGCGCACCGCCCTCGAGCACCATCTCGTCCGTGACCGGGTCGCGCATCACAGCCGCCGTCAGACCGACGCCACTGCTACCACGGCCCGACGTGTAGACACCGCGCGGCGCCACCTTGGAGATGTACTTGAGCAGCTGCGACTTGGCCACACCAGGGTCGCCCATCAGGCAGATGTTGATGTCGCCGCGGATCTTCATGCCGTCGCCCATCTGCTTCGTCACACCACCGACCAGAAGCAGCAGCAGCGCCTTCTTGACGTCCAGGTGGCCGAAAATCTCGGGCGCAATGGACTTGGCCAGGTACTCGTAGACCTGGCCCGACTGCCGGAACTGCTCAATGCGACGCACCAGCTGCGGCTCAATGGCCATCTCCTCGTACGCCTTCTTGTGCTGCACCACGTGGTGCGCCTCCAGGAACGTGTCGGTCAGCAGGCCGGCCCGCATGGCCTTGAAGCCCGTGTAGGGCGTGGGCAAGAAAATGCCGGAAATGTCGACAACGTCGCCCGGGTTGATGCGGCGCACCAGACTGCCGTAGCAGAGCACGGTAAGCGTGCGCGGGATCTGGCCAATGGGCACCTGCTCGGCGAGCTCCTGGACCTTGACCTCCTGGAAGGGCTGGAACTTGGACGCGCGCGACGAGGGGTGCAGCTGGCCGCCAGACTGGTTGTCCTTGCAGTCCTTGGACGGGCAGAGCGAGAGCGGCGCGAACTGCTTGTTGTTGACGGGCTGGAAGATTTCGCAGCCACAGCGGTCGCACGTGTATGCGCTGACTTGGGCAATGGGCTTGACGTCGGACACGCGCGTGGCAATGGCGCGGATGGTGATGAGGTGGCCGAGGTCCTCGCCGCGCACCTGGCGCACGGCGACGGGCTTGGTCGGGTGCTCGAGGGTGGAGGTACGGGGCTTGAAAACGAGGGTGTAACGGCGCGTCAGCTCGGCCGGGAACACGTCGTTGAGCATGTCTGGGTCGCCCAGGGCCTCGGCACCGTCGCGCAGCTCGCGGTTGCGCAGTTTGCGGCGGGCCATGAGCACATCGAGGACATCATCCTTGAAACTGGTCTGTGTTAAAATGTGTTTCCACTTCTCTCTGTTCTCGTTCTCTCTTCTCGTATTTTTCTCTCTTTTCTCTCCTCTCTACTCGCTGCTCCTCCTTCTCAGTATCGCATCAACTTACGAAACATCGGCGCTGGGCTCTGGCAGCAGCTCGTCGACGGCCTGGGACAGGATCTCGACGTAGTGCTTTGTGTTGATCTCGATGGACTGTGTGAGCTTGAGCCCGCTCTGGGTGTCTGCCTCGAACTGTCGGACGTTAGCAAGGCTCCAACGCAGCATCTTTCGCAGTTCGTATCGCCACTCACCATCGACACGTCGTCCAGGTCGACAGTCACCTCGTCGACCTGGCGATCCGCCAGCTTCTGCAGCAGGTCGCGGTACTTGTGCGTTGGCTTGCGGCGCGCGGCCTTTTCCCGTGCACGGCGCTCGGCAGCCTCGTCGGTCTCGTCGACAAACTCGTACTCGTCGCTCAGGTCGTCATCGTCAATGTTGATGTTGCCGAGCGCGTGGGTGATGGCGTGCTCGGGGGTGGTCTTGTAGTTGGTCAGGAAGTCCTTGAAGGCAGCTGAGGGTTTCCTAGTTAGCAGGAAAGTCGGAGAAGAGGCACATCAACATCAAAACCAAGCAAGGACATACCCAGCTGCGCTGTGTAATCAACGACTTTTTTGTAGGTGGGAAGCTTTTCCGCCATGGCTGCGGATGGGCCAAAGGCGCGAGTTGCGGTGCGGGTTGGGGGGCAACGATGTGGAAAACAGAAGCGCTACTCTGGAAATGCGATGACAATGCGGTGAGATGCGGTGCAATGCGAAAACAAAAACAATATACGCAAGAGTCGAACGTCGTGATGTCGAGATAGAGGAAATGGGGGAAGAAAAAGAGGGGAGGAAAAGGCTGCAGTCAATTTAGCGATCCTCTTGCCGCACGGCGCTTCCTGGTTTGTGTGGTGGGCAGGTGCGATTGGCAAGGGAGGCTGGGAAAGGGCGGCGGGTCGCACCTGCCACGCTCAGACCCGGCCAGGGCAGGAACGCGATGGAGACGCGTCAAGGCTGTCTTTTGCTGCTGCGACGCGTCTTTTCGTGTTTAATTGAAAACGCACGGGCCAAGTAGGTCGTGTGGCGCACCAGTTCACTATCCACAGTGGATGTATGGGCATGGGGCATTTGAAGCCTCGGCAGTCGCGGCGGCTGCACTACAATTGCTGGCGAACGTGCCTTCCCCAGTTTCGGGCCAATTAGCACGAGCACAAGCGCAGCAAGAGCGACCAGCGCACTTGCAGCAAAGCGCCTGGCAGCTGAATTTCCAAAGCGAAACTCTGACGATCTTCAATCGACACTTTCACAACAGCAGACACCACCTCATACGTTGCCACGCATCCCGACACAGGGGCAGCAACACGCGAGCGACAGCAGACACCCAGTTCGTGCCTCGCACATCACACCAGCCAGCCATGGCGCCGCGCAAGAACTCGCAGTCCACGGCAGCTGAGCTGTCGCTGGTGCAGCTGCAAAAGTGCTTCGTCAACCTGCCATCTTCGCTCGTCAACATTCTCTTGAACGTGGATACGGTAGGTCGTGCTTGATATGGCTGCGAGAACCTTTTATGCTTTTATGCCCCTCTTACTGACAGACAGCCCATACAAAATGTCGTCATCGAGCTCAGCTACCGCGCCCCAGCGGCCCCTCGCCCCGACAGCTCGGGGCCAACGCCCTCGGTCCAGCGGTCCATCTTCGTCGGCTGGACGGGCATGCCGAGCCGACGCAAGATGGCCTCGCTCGTCGGCCGCGACAGCATCACAAGTAGCGCCCGCGGGGGCGGCGGGCGGACGGGTGGCGGCAGCGACCAGGAGATTGCCGTCGTCGAGATCGACGCCACGTTTGCACACACGCTCGGCCTGCACGACGGCCAAAAGGTCACGGCCACGATCTACCTCGACCCGCCGCTGGCACACACAATCAACATTGAGCCGCTGACGCCCGAGGACTGGGAGATGGTCGAGCTGCATGCCACGTTCCTCGAGATCAACCTGATGAACCAGATCCGCGCGCTGCCCAATCCCGCCTTCACGGGCTCCGCAGGGCCCGGCGGCGCAACCATCCCTCCACACCCGCTGACGCTGCACCTCTCGCCGACGTCGACGGCCAACATCAAGGTGCTGTCGCTGGAGCCTGCGCTGCCGTCCGACGCGCCGTTTGCCAAGGTGGCGCCGGACGCCGAGGTGATTGTGGCGCCCAAGACGCGGGCGAAGCCCTCGCGCAGCAGCCGCGAGAACCGCAGTGTGACGAGCACGTCCAAGAAGAGCGGCACGAGCACAGCACGGGGACGGGGCGCGCGCGAGGAGCGGAAGCCGGCGCTGTTCTTGCGCGCAGTCGACCGGGCGCTCTGCGACGAGTGGTTCGATGAGGACGTGGTGGCCGGCGATGCAGGTCTGGCCGTGTGGGTGGACCGCGACCTGCTGCTGCCCAACGAGTTCCGTGGCCTGAAATGGGCGTCCATCACATTGTTGCGAGCGGGCGGCGCACAGCCTCCCAAACAACCGCAGCAGCCGGGCGGTGGCGGCGGTGAGATTCTTGTGGGCGGCGCGACGGCACCTGCGCCGGGGACTGGCGCTGCACAACCAGGCGGCCCTGGCCTGAGCTCCACCGAGTCGGCAGCACGCATCATCGTCCAGATCCGTCCCTGGGACGACCCGCCAAACGGCCAGACAGCCGCACTGTCGCCTGCTCTCTGCTCGGCCCTCAGTTGCCAGGGCATCGTCGGCGGTGTGGTCAAGATCGAGCCGGCTTCTCAACCGCTGGCCCCGAAGATGGTACAGAAGATTAAGCTGTACCCCTTCGAGGACAGCAGCAGCAGCAGCAGCAAGCAGGCAGCGGGGATCAAGTTTGGCGGCGACGCACAGTACGAGAAGGAAGACGCCATTAAGCGAATCCGAGCACACTACGGCGGTAAAGCGCCGCAGGGCCTGTTCCAGGGCCCGCTGACCGACGGTCTGGTCTTGGGTCTTAACAACGGCCCAGAGCCTGCTCCAAGTGGCTGGTGCGGCGGTTTCTTGAAGCTGAGCGTGTCACCAGCCGACGCGGCAGCGCAGGGCGACAACACAAAATGGATCCTGGGCTCCACAGTCACCAGCTCTGCCTACGAGGTCCAAGCACCCATTCCGAAGCCATCCTGGCTGGTGGAGGCCGAGGCGAATGCCGCGTCCCCGCTGTCTTCTTCGCAACAGACTCTGGTCGGCATCAACGGCATCCTGAGCGACCTGCAGACGCACCTGTCGCACTCGTCGTCCGTGCTGCTGACCGGCGCACTGGGCTCTGGAAAGACGTCGGTGGCACAGCAGATTGGCGAGGCGCTGCGAACAAGCGAGTTCTTCCACGTGTCGTACCTGGCCTGTCGCAAGCTGGTCAACGAGGAGAGCAAGATTGCGACGATCAAGGAGACGCTGAGCCGCCTGTTTATGGGTGCCAGCTGGGGCGCGCGCCTGGGTGGCAGGGCGCTCGTCATCTTGGACGATCTGGACCGTCTCTGCCCCGCGGAGACGGAGCTCGTGGTGCAGAGCGAAGAGGGCCGCAGCCGGCAGATCAGCGAAGGCCTGTGCGCGATTGTGCGGCAGTACTGCGGCCGGCCCGACAGCAATGTCGTGCTGCTGGCGACGGCACAGGGCAAGGACTCGCTGCACAACGTCGTCGTCGGCGGCCACGTGGTGCGCGAGATTGTCGATCTCAAGGCGCCGGACAAGGATACGCGCCGCAAGATTATGGAGAACTTTGCGAGGCAGAACGCGCTCGATGCAGAGCAGGCCGCAAAGCGGCTGGGCAATGGCGGCCAGAACAGCGGCGAGGATACCAACAACAACAGCAGCCGGCCGACGACCGCGGATGGCCGGGCGGCCAGCGACGATGGCGGCAACTGGATGATGGACGGCGCGAGACAGACGAGCCGACGCGACTCGCAGGCGGCGGGCGGCGGCGGCGGCGGCGACAACGACGGCGCGTTTGTGATCCAAGAGGACCTTGATTTCCTGGATGTCGCGGGCGAGACGGACGGGTTCATGCCGGGCGACCTCAGCCAGCTGGTGGCGCGGGCCAAGAACGAGGCGCTCGTGCGGTCGATCACGGGCAACAGCGACCTCGACGACAACGTGTCGAGCATCGTGCCGCTGGACCGCGTGGACTTTGCGCGGGCGCTCAAGGGCTTCACGCCGACGTCGCTGCGCAACGTGACGCTGCAGCACTCGACGACCAAGTTTGACAGCATCGGCGGCCTGCAGGAGACGCGGCGCGTGCTGCTCGAGACGCTCGAGTACCCGACCAAGTACGCGCCCATCTTTGCCAAGTGCCCGCTGCGGCTGCGGTCGGGCCTGCTGCTGTACGGCTACCCGGGCTGCGGCAAGACGCTGCTGGCCAGCGCGGTGGCGGGCGAGTGCGGCCTCAACTTTATCAGCGTCAAGGGCCCAGAGATCCTCAACAAGTACATTGGCGCGTCCGAGAAGAGTGTGCGCGACCTGTTTGAGCGCGCGCAGGCCGCCAAGCCGTGCGTGCTCTTCTTTGACGAGTTCGACTCGATCGCGCCCAAGCGCGGCCACGACTCGACGGGCGTCACCGACCGCGTCGTCAACCAGCTGCTCACGCAGATGGACGGCGCCGAGGGCCTGTCGGGCGTCTACGTTCTGGCCGCCACCTCGCGCCCGGACCTCATCGACCCGGCCCTGCTGCGCCCCGGCCGTCTCGACAAGAGTCTGCTGTGCGGCTTCCCCGACGCCGCCGACCGCCTCGACATTTTCCGCGCGCTCGGCAACAAGGCCAAGATGAGCGACGAGGTGCTCGGCGGGCCCAACCAGAGCGACGACAGCGAGGCGATGCGCAACCTGGCGCAGCGCACCGAGGGCTTCTCGGGCGCCGATCTGCAGGCGCTCGTGTCGAATGCGCAGCTCGAGGCCATCCACGACGTGCTCAACGACCGCGAGCAGAAGGCGTCTGCCGCGTCGGCGTCGGCGACGAGCGCCACGAACGGTTCCAGCGGCAAGCGCGCGGCCGTGTCCTCGGGCAAGAAGTCGGCATCCGGTGCCACCACCGCTGCCGCCGCCGTACACAACTTTGTCTCCTTCCGGTACGGTGCGGACGACGGCAGCGCGTCGTCCGAGAGCAACGGCCAGGCACAGCACCGGTCGGCGGCGTTGGCGGAGCGCGCGGCCATTGTGGCCAAGCTCGACAGCATCCGGCTGGCACGGCGGCGCGAACGCACGGCCCAGCGGCCGGGCTCGGCTGGCGATGCAGACGGTGGCAAGGGTGCTGCTTCGGCGGCGGCGGCGGCGTCGGGCCGTGATGTCGTCATCCGCTGGAAGCACGTCTACAAGGCGCTCGACAGCACGCGGGCCAGCATCAGCGACCAGGAGCGGCGGCGGCTGGAGCGCATCTACAAGGAGTTTGTGGTGGGCCGCAGCGGCGAGATGCGCGACGGCCAAGGCAGCATGGAGGTTGGCGGCCGGACGAGCCTCATGTAGGGGAGGAGGAGAACTGATGACGAATGAAGGAACAAGGGGACGAGGAAAGGCGAGGAGACGAGGAGACGAGGAGAGAAGAAGAGCATCGCATCTGTAGATAAGAACAGCCATTGTATTCGTATATATAGTGTACTATATGGGATTCAGAAGGAGGCATACCAAGCATTCATGCCAGGAACGAAAATAAACTACAGGACATCGACCATTGAGCCAAACCGAGTAACGGTGAGAAGAGAACTGAGGTTGTTTTGATGTTCCGTATGTAGAGTTTGTTGCCCTTCCACAAAGTTAGGTGCTATGCGCTGTATTAGGGCGCTGTAGCAGCCGACAGTGCGCTGTGAGTGCTATGACGTTCGTTGTCCAATCACATGGTAGCGTGAGCTCGGGTTGCGACTTCCCCCCGACCCCACTGTATCCAACACAGCTACAGCTGTCCTTTGATCAACTGCAACTTGCACGACACAACATCTCAACATCACAACCACCGACATTCAGCCCTGCGGCTACGATACCCCAAGCAGAAACACAGCTTACGGCCACCAACCCCCTATCGACACACCGCCACACAATGGCGGCATCGCCCGCATCACGGCCAGGCGCGAGCGTCATCGGCCAGGCGCTCGTCGACTTTTCGACGCAAGGCCTCTTCCCGGCCGACAACGACGTGGCCACGGCCGCCCTGCGCGCCGAGACGCTCCCCGACGCGATCCGCGTGCTGGCCGACGCCAAGACGGCACTCGAGACCGAGATCCAGGCGATTGTCCACGACACGGCGGGCGACGTGCAGGCGTGGATCGACAACGCCAAAGCGCTGCAGGTGGCCATTGCGCGGCGGAAGACGCTGGCCGGCGACATTCTCGTGCGGGCAAACGACGGAGACGGCGTGCGGTCCAGCGAAGGTGGGACCGGGAATGCAGGCGGGGGACAAACAACGCAACTGCAGACCCCGGCAGAGGCCGAGGCCGAGGCACACGCGCAGTTCCTGACGGGCGAGCTCAACTACAACCTGCAGGTGCGCTACCTGCTCGAGGCCATCCGCGGCGTCAGCCGGCTGCTGGACGACGTCGAGCAGGCCGCGGCGCAGCGGCGCATCCTGGACGCGCTGCGGCTGCTGGAGCGCGCGTGGGGCGCGCTGGACGCGATGCCGGTGAGCAAGTCGTGCCGCGCGATGCGGCTGCTGGACCTGCGGGCGTTTGAGCTCAAGGCGGACGTGCACCGCGTGTTCGACCACGTGTGGAGCGCGCTGGTGCGTGTCCAGGCGGACGAGCGGCAGGCGACCCTGACAATCCACGAGACGCGGCCCGACGAGCCCATGAGCCTGTCCGACGCCGTCGTTGGGCTCAAGGCGTACAAGGAGGTCGACCGGCGCATGGTGGACCTCTGGCACGCGCTCGACAAGGCCATTGTGGCACCGCGCACCGACCTGTCACAGCCCCGTCCGTCGCGGCCACGCATCTACGTCGACGGCGCGGAGCTGGGCATTCGCGAGCACAGCCCGTCAAAGAACGAAGCGGGAAGTGACGGTGTGGCCGCACTGTTCGAGGACCTCGACACGATGTTCTCATTCTTCGCCGACAAGCTGCCGGCCGACCTCGTCCAGTCCATCTCCTCGGTCATGGTGCCAGAGCTCGTGGCCCGTGTCATCGATGTCTGGCTGGCGTCGTCGGTCCCCACATCCCTGGACCAGATGGCCGCCTTCGAGGGCACCCTGCAAGCGGCACAGGGGTTCTGTGCACGTCTGACGGACCTGCACTACACCGGATTCGGCCGCCTGCAGGAGTGGATCGAGAGTGCACCACGCGTCTGGCTCGCCAAGCGCAAAGAAGCGGCCCTCAACACGGTACGGAACAACGTGGCCAAGGGCCTCGGCAAGCCACTGCAGGTTGAGAGGGTCGAGAAGCAGATGGTCTCGCGGTCCGAGGGCAAGGAGCTCGCTGCCGCGCCGGCTGCAGCCACTGGCACAACAGAACAGGCGACCGACTGGGATACAGCCTGGTCCGACGAAGAAGACGAAGTGCAAGAACAGGACTCAAGACCAGCAGCATCAACAAAAGCGAGCACGTCTAAATCAAACGCCACGGCCAAGGACGATGGAGACGATGGCGCCGATGCGTGGGCTGCCTGGGGCGACGACGACGACGATGCCGCGGCTGAGCCAGAGGAAGAAACGGCGGAAGAAGAGGCGGTACCCGAGCCGTCAGAGCCGAAGGCAGCAGCCAAGGAGGGTCCAGAAGACAACAATGACGATGACGATGCGGCGGATGCTTGGGGCTGGGGCGACGACGACGGCGGAGAGGACAACGACGAGCCAGCAAAAGCCAAGCCGCCGTCACCAAAAAAGGCAAAGAAGGAAGCACCGTCCACATCCACAACAAAAGCACCACCAGCGGCACCAAACGAACCGCACGACACCGCCATACGAGAAATGGTCATGAAGGAAAAGTACCACATCTCGTCGATGCCGGGCCCCGTGCTCGACCTCATCACGTCCATCCTCGAGGACGGCGTCGCGCTGACCTCGGGCGCCTACGAGGGCAGCTCTGTGTCGGCTGCCGGCGCGGGCCTGTTCAGTCTGCCGGCGCTGGCCCTCGCCATGTTCCGCGCTGTCTCGCCGCACTCTTACGCGCACGACGTCGGCGGCAGCATGTACCTCTACAACGACGCCATGTACCTGGCCGAGCGCCTGGGCGAGGTGGCCACTGCATGGACGGACCGTCTCCCGCCTGCAGCCGCGTCGATGCTGCGTCTCGATGCCGAGGTGGCCAAGCTGCAGGGGTTTGCCAGCCGCGCCTACGGCCGCGAGATGGCCGTGCAAAAGACGGTGCTGCGCGACCTGCTCGGGGGCGACCAGAACGTCCTGCAGGAGAGCGGCGGCGGCGGCGGCAGCGGCAGCAGCAGCCGCGGCTACCCGTCGCACCAAGAGAGCGACGAGGACGCCGACGACTACGTGGACGCCGCCGTGGCGCGCGTGCGGTCGATGGCGGCGGCCTGGGAGGACGTGCTGGCGCCGTCGGCGTGGTCGCAGGCGGTCGGCGCGCTGGCCGACGCCGTGGCCCAGAAGCTGATTGCCGACGTGCTGGACATGCCGTCCATCAGCCAGGACGAGGCATTTAGCCTGGCGAACCTGATTCAGAAAGTGACGGAGCTGGACGACCTGTTCCGGCTGCCTGCCGACGGCGAAGGCGAAGGCGACGCGAGCATCCCCATGACGTCGCAGTACGCGCCCAACTGGCTGCGGCTGCAGTATCTGTCGGAAGTGCTGCAGTCCAACCTGCGCGAGGTGCGCTACCTGTGGATGGAGAGCGAGCTGAGCCTGTACTTTACGGCCGAGGAGGTCGTGGACCTGCTGCGCCTGAGCTTCGAGGACAATGCGCGGTCGCGCGAGGTGGCCCGCGAGATTGCCGCCAACCCACACCCAGTCGACGTGTCGTCTGCGGGGTGAAGAAGAAAAGAAAACAGCATGTGATGTGCATTGGATGGCATGTTCATCGGATAGCAAAACGTGTAGAAACGACCTGTGTAGTTATGAGACCCCCATCTGTAAGCAGCCTCCATGATCGCCTTGACCTCCTATGTGCAAATGCGAAAGAAAATAATATGGTAGCCCGAGAGGGAACCAGGAAATTACATGAACAGAAGAAGACGAAGTACACATGAGACGAAACAGCAAAATAACAAAACATAAAATCAAACAACGCAACATGGTGCTACATATATGTCTGACGGATGGCTTTTTGGAGAGTCGAGTCTCGCCCCGTTCTCATGCACTCTCGCCGTCGGCCCCGTTTTTGCTCGCCGCCGCCGCCGCCTCGTCCGCCGCGATGCGCTGCGCCTCGCCGCGCAAGAACGCCTCTTCCACGGCCGCGCGCCGCTGCACGACGCGCTGCCACCGCACCGCCCACGCCTTGGCCAGGCCGCTGTCGTCACCCGCGAGCCACGGCTGCAGCGCGTCGCCCAGCAGCCGGAACAGGTCGCGCATCGCCTTGGTCTCGGCGGCTTGGGCGGCGCGCGCGGCCTCGAGGTCGGCGGTCGCCTGGACGCGCGCCGCCTCCGCCGCCTCAACTGCCGCGTCGGCGTCGGCCGCGGCGGCCGCCGCAGCCTCGGCCATGGCCGACGCAGCCGCATGCGTCGACGACGCCGCGCCCGCATCCTCGTCCATGGCCACATCGAGGTCGCCGTCTTTGGGGGCGGCCACAGCGGCCGGTGGCGGCGGCGGCGGGGGGTTGCGCTGGCGCTCCCTGGCTGCCTCGACGGTCTGGGTGGCGGCCGCGACGGCCGCGGCCGCCGTCTGCGAGGCGCCCACCAGCTGGTGCACGCGGCGCGTGACCTTGTCGACGGTGTTGAACACGAGCTCGGCGACGTGGTTGACGGCCAGGCTGGCACTCGCGCCCTTTTGGTCCTTCTTGGACAGGGCCCACTGCACAATCGTGTCGGGCGTCAGGATCGCATAGTTGAGCAGCTTCTCCGTAATCGACACGGCCACGCCCGAGTGGGCGCCCCAAAAGGACATGACGGCCACGAGAATCTGGGTGCGCGCCGCCTCCGAGGCCGCGCCCGCGTCCAGCAGCCGGTCCTTGGTGCGCTCGATGGCGGCCAGCACGTGCGACAGCGACTTGGAGCCGACCCACAGCACGGCCGTCGTGAACACGTCCGTCGACGTGACCAGGGGATCGAGCCCGGCGTCGAGCGCCTGGCTGTGGATGCGCTCGATGACGGCCTGGACGTCCTCGTCGGCGGCCTTGCGCTTGAGCAGCACGGCCAGCTCCCGCCCCTCGGCCGCAAACGGAACGTCGTCGGCGGCCGTCGCCGTCGCCGTCGCCGTCGCACCCTCCTTGGGCTCCGCGTACTTGAACGGCGGCACGTCCTGCTCCGTGTTCGGGTCGATCAGCGCCTGGTACGGCTCCGGCAGCGTGTTCTTGATGCGCTGGGCAAAGCTGAGGCGAATCTCCTTGTCGATGGCGGCCAGGATAAAGGCCTTGTGCGGGTGCAGGTCCGGCAGGTCGACGTCGTCGACCCACTCGGCCCACTTCCAGGTGAAGCCAAAGTTGCTCAGGTGGTGGGCGAACCAGTCGACGAAGCGGCCGACCAGCTCCAGGTCCATGCGCGGGCTGTTGCGGTACAGAAAGCGGATCGCGCGGCCCAGGCTGGGCGCAATGGCGGCGGGCGCAATCTTGCACGCCTCGGCCAGCACAGCATGGTAGTACACGAGCTTGTGCTCGGGCTGGGGCAGCTGGAAGAGCTGTGCGAACACCGTGTCGACGGCCACGTCCTCGGGCTTCCACGTCGACTTGCCCGGCTCAATCTCGCGCAGACGGTCGTAGGGCGTTGCGCGCTTGACAAACGTGCCGTCGGCAAAGTAGCAGTCAATGTCGATGAGGAACCGCGCGGTGGCGTTGCGGTTGAAGTCGAGCCCGTTGATCGTATCAAGCAGGATGTCGCGGATCAACGACGACGCCGCGTCGGTCAGAGGCGGCACCGAGTGCGGCAGGAACGCCGCAGCCTGCGGCGAGAGGGCGCTCGTGGCCGAGCCCTCGTCCTCGTCCACCCATGCGCCGTACACGGAGAAGTACACCTCGGGGAACAGGGCGCGGGGGCCTGCAATGACCGTCTCGGGGACAGCAATCGCCGGCAGCGGGTGCCTCGTGGTTGGCTCTTGCGCCTTATCCTGCAGACCAGCCTCCTCGAGTGGTAGCTTGTGCATGCGCGGCAGGCACGTGAGCGGCCAGCCGTTGGCCGCCTCGGCCTGCAGCTGCTTCTGGAGCAGGGCGATGACGCTCTCGGCGGGCGGTGGGCCGTTGTCGCCGTCGGCCTCTGTCTCGTCGTCGTCGTTGTCGTCGTTATTGTTGTCGTCGTCGTCGTCCTCCTCCATGGCATCGCCGGCGCCCTTGGCCTTCTTGGCCTTGCGGCCCGTGTCGATGCCGTGGTGGTACGGGTCCATCAGACCCTGCAGCGCATGGGGCTCCGAGGCGATAATGTCCGTCTTCTCCATCAGGTCAGCCGCGCGCTGGCGCCACTGCTCGATGCTGTCGCTGTCGGTGTTCTCCGGGTCTGAGGATGCAGACGATGCAGACGAGGCTGACACGGCCGTCATGACGTAGGGAATGGTCAGCAAGATGATCTTAACCAGCTCTGTGCCAATCACGTCGTCGGAGCTGGCCGTCTGCAGGTCGACCGCACGCGCAAACAAGGTGTCGAGCAGCGGGAACACGCCGTCGCCCTCCAGGCACGGCTGCAAGCAGGCGATGAGGCGAAGCTGCAGCTTCACCTCGCGCCAGCGGCCGTCGGCAATGGCGCTCTCCGTCGCAGCAGCGACGGCGCGCAGGACGTCGACGACAATGTCGGGCTTGAGGACGTTGACGATGAGGAGAAGGGCGGCGACAAAGGGCGTCTTGAGCGGCTGCTCGCGCACCATCTGGCAGGCAAGACGGACGAAGCTCTCGCGCGTGGGACCGTTGTCGTCGGTGCTCGTGACGAGGCGGGCGATGTCGACAACCTCGTCGTCCCATCGGCTCAGGGGCGACTCGGCGAGGGCCAGCAGGCGGCGGCGGATGCGGACAGGCGCGGGAGGCTCTGAGCGGCGGCGCTGGTTGCGGAACTCGTTGTCGTCGTCATCTGCACGGGTTAGTCTGTCGGACGACGTCCTTCAAGATCCTCAGCCAGGGATGTTCAAATGGTTGAGGGGGGCGCACCTCTGTATCTCCGCTTGCGGTTGTTCTGGTAGTTGTTGTGTCCGCCGCGGCGGTCGTAGTCGGCCATGGCGGCTTGTGTTTGCTATGCGTCTCAGGCAAAACTCAAGTGTCGCTGACGTCGCTGACGTCGCAAGCAAAAGTCAAATGGATCTTTGATCTCTCGACCGCCAGCGAAAGCTGGGTAGCAATTGAATAGGGCTCGAACGCTGTGAATGAATGAAGGCAACAGCTGGGATGAATGTCGCATGCAGAGGACCAAATGATGGAAATACACGTCGCAGTCGCCGACAGTTGTGGCCGTAGGTCGTGATGCTCGCTGTGACGATCTGGAGATGGAACGCGAGAAAAAAATAAGAAAAAGAGAACACGCAAAAGGGAACATTCGCGTGCCCCATAAACGCCGGCAACCACCTCTGTGCGACATCCTGCCAGCTTGGTGTTTCGGCGCTAAGAAAAACGCTGGTCAAAGTGGCCCAGGCGGCCGACCTGCATTGGCCTGTATGCATTGGTGCCTTGGATCTTGGGCATCAAGTGTTCGCATGCGCAGGTGGTCATAGCTCCTTCCGCACCCCGGGCGAAACAACCAACCCACGGAAAGAGGAAGAGCGAACGTCGTCATTGCACAGAATATAATCTGCCGGCAAAAGAACCACAATGGTCACGCGAGGCAGGTGCGATAAAGCCCTCGGCGATGACTCTTAGGAGGTCGGTCGATTTGGTTACCCTGTTTTTTACGAATACAAGTCGATTAAGACGTGTGTGAAGCTTCACTTTATTGCCACTGATGTCAAAGGCGTGTGAACTGGTCCTAGAAATAACCATCGCAGCCATCAATGTTATTCATGTTGCAATACCTCTACTAAAATAATACAAAATGTATAAACAAGAACTCGGGATGAAAGGGATGAATAAGAAGACACCCTCATAATTCCCTCATCCTGCTCCTTTCGATTCTCTCCAGGCTCCTAGACCTCTTACTCCAGTCACTCCGGCACAATGGTATGTAATGCGAATAGACTTTTCTCCGTCAATGCAAAACATGGCATATCTGGAACTGCCAGAGGTGCCACGGAACGATTGTGATATTTGATAAAAAAAAACACGGAAAAGACAGAGACGGTCTGTCCCTGCGAGCGATAGGCAGGCAGCCGGTAAAGGAAAAATGCAAGGCGTTGTCTTAAAAGAACGAGACTAGGCACGGAACGGCGCAGAAGCGAGGCCGAGAGACGGGGCGCAGGAGCAACAGTCCACCACCGGACACAGTAAAGACAGAAACAGAGTAAAATAGCAAGACGGTAACCCGTACATACTGTATACGATGTCTGAAACAAACTAAGGCCATCGTATGCCATGAAGTAGAAAAGAAATCTAAAGAGGAAAATGGTAAAGGGGGTGTGGCGAGATCGAAAGAACAAAAGCAGAACGGCACAAGAGACATACGAAAAAGAAAACAGAAAGTGAGGAGGCAGAGACAGACGGGCAAGGCGCCAAGAGAGAAATGAAATAGAACAGAGGAATAAAAAAGAGAATAAAAAACAGCAAAAGCCCCAATGTCATGTCATATCTCGCTCCCAGTTGCAGCAGCTTCCGCGTTGGTTTTTTTTTTTGTTGGCCAAATGGGCCACGTGAGGCGGTAAGCAGAACAAACGAAACTCCCAGACCCCGAAGCAATTGAAGCCAAAAACTATCAGAAGCCCAACTCCTCTCCCTCCCGTATGCCCATTTTCGACCCCTTTCCCTCCCACTTCCATATCCGATCCGAATCTAGGCACCTCTGTTTTTCATGAACTCCAGCCAGTTACCAACTAGGCACCCAGCTGAGGCAAATGAAAAATGATACAAAAGGTGCAAGGCCGGTTTCCGTATGCCACACACGGGGAAAAGCAGCATGGCGTTCGAATCGTCGTAGGTGGCTGCAATGACAGCTTCAGTTTTTGTCAGGAGCACCATTCAGCATGTCCCAAGGCCCCATTCGTGAACATAGGGTGTGATCTTCATCTCAAGACACCCAACATCCCACTCTTTTGCTCTTGCTCTGGCCCTACCATCTCTAGGCTCGCAGCGAGACAAAGAGCTGGTATATGCCCCAATAAAAGCAACAACAAGACGAACGAGGAATGGCTCAGCTGTCGGGATATCCAAGGCAGGGGGCAGGGGACGAGGATCAGATGTCGTTTCTCTTCAAAATGACGTGAAAAAAGAATAAACGAGACAAAATGGGTCGCAGCCTTTGCCGCAGCTTAAACTGTCACCGATTAAGTTGCAGCCGCTGCGGCATCAGCGACGGTTTCCACTTCTGCTATTTTTCGTATTTTGTTTCGTTATTCAGGAGAGCGTGAGGCCATTCAATCGTTAGTCTCAATCGAGCTTGGCCATCATGTCTTCCCGTGACAACGGCGTGAAGTTGTCAATGTCGAGGCCTTGCGACTGAAGAACCGGGACCATGTTGGGAGGCACCAGCTTGTGGTTGAGGTTCGGGGCAATCGACAATTCTTTGTGGGGGAAAAGGTAAAAAAGTTAGCATTCCATTTTTGGTTGGGAGGACGTACAATAGCACCAAAACATACCGTGCAGAGTGAAGTTGAACAGAGGCGGCAGGTCACGGAGCGTGCCGGTCTGATGTCTCGAGTCAGGCAGCTTCGTCTTGGGGTCGCGCAGCTCGTCAAAGAAGGGGTGCACCATGGCATCAACAGCGGCCAACCGCTCCGTGGGCGTGTACTCAAGGAGGCGCTGGATGAGGTCAAGGGCATTGGCGTCGGCCTTGCGGAAGACCTTGTTGAAGGGGTGAGGCTTGATCTGGGGGAACTTGTGCTCCATATAGTTCGGGTTCATCGTCCGGATCTGCTCACGCGTCGGCGTTCCCAGGATCTTGATGATCTCAACCAATTGGTCGATTCCAGATTCGCCGGGGAACAGCGGCTGGCCGAGCATGAGCTCCGCCATAACACAGCCAGTTGACCAGACATCTGAGGAGACCGTTTGTTAGAATGAAACCGAGAATAACAATATAAAGAATAAGGAAACTAAGAAAAGAAAAGGCACGACGGGGGGAGGTTCGAATGAGACATACCAATCTTGGTCGTGTAGTTTGTGGCGCCAAAGATCAGCTCCGGGGCTCGGTAGTAGCGGGAGCAGATGTACGAGACGTTGGGCTCGTTCTCGACAAGGATCTTGGCGCTACCGAAATCGCAAAGCTTCAGAATGCCCGTTGTCGGGTCAAGAAGCAGGTTCTGCGGCTTGATGTCGCGGTGGCAAATGCCCTGCGAGTGGATGTAGGCGAGGGCACGGAACAGCTGGTAGATGTACAGCTTCACTTCCAGAATGGGCATGGTCGTCTTCATCTTATTGAAGAAGCGGGACGCGCGGTATACCGTCTCGGGGACGTATTCCTGGACCAGGTTCAGGTACACCTCGTCCTTCTATGGACATGGAGAAGCACAGTTCGTCAGCTTTACACGCCTCGGGTCGACTCAGGAGGTGCGGTGATACAATGTAGCCAATACGGCCTCATCAAGGCCAGAGTAAAAAAAAAAAAAAAAAAAAAAAGCGACATCCAGAACAAACTTACGCGTTCTCCGTTGGAGTAGTAAAAGGCCTTCAGCTGAACAATGTTTGGGTGGCGGACGATTCTCATAATCTGGAGCTCACGGTTCTAGAGAAGAGGGCAAAAACGTTAGTCGGAGGGCTGGTCTCGATTGCCTCGTGAGAAACGCTTGAACGCTTGACGAGTCTGCCTGGGGCAAACAAACCTTGAACCGCTTGTCCTGCAGGACACGCTTGATGGCGGCATCCTCGTTGGAGGGCGAGAGCTTCGTCTGGAAGACGACGCCAAAGGAGCCGTTGCCAACGATCTTGCACTGCGTGTACTGCAGGTCTCTCGTTTCGCCAGTCACACCGTCCTGGACTTTCTCACGGACGACCTCTGTAGAAGCCAGAAAAGGGCAATTGTTAGCATTCCATTGACGGCCACCACGAATAGACGAACCAGAACAGACGGAGGGCGCGCGGCACATTGCGTCGGTCCGCTACGGAGTCCAAACTTACCCCCCATGCGGAGATTGCTGAAGGCTGACGGCCGACTTTGCGACATAATTCAGAATGCGTTGCAGTTTCACGGCGGCTGCTACCGACGTTCGAGATGCACAATGGCGTTGCGGGTGAGCCTGGGCCCAGAGGTGCAGAGGTACAAGGTGGAGGGCGTTGAGGCGGCCGTGTTGGGCAAAAGGGAGAAGAACAAGGGTACGAAGAGAAGGCGAAGCACGAAAGCACCAATACTCAGCAGAGACGAGCACGGGATTGAATTCGAGCGTGTCTGGCGTGCAGGTCAATTTGCGAGAGGGCGACTTGTCGTGAGGTCGTTTATGTGTTTTTTTTTGGTCTGTCCTTCGTTTCTTCGTTCGCTGAAAGGCCAGGGTCAGGTGCAGAACCACTGGTGCGGGGAGGTGGGAAAACGAAGAGGTGGTGTGCGACAGTGCGAGGTTGGGAGGTGAGTCGGTTTTAGCAGCAAAACGAGCCTAGGAAGCGAAATAAAAAAGGCTGTGGAGGGCGAGCCTGGTGTTTTTCAAGGTGAGACCGTTGAAAGGTACTTTTGTTGCTGGATTCTGCGATGAGTGGACGGCAGACCGGAATGCGAGACGAGAGAGGAATGCAGCTGTTCGAGTGTCAGAAGAAGGTCAGCTGGGCGAAAAAGGGCCACTGAGAGAGGAAAAAGGTGGTTCTGGTGGAGAGAAACAAAAGAGAAGAGAGAGAAAAAGAGAGAGGGAGACGAAGGGGTGAAAAGAGGAGAAACAATTCAGCGGGCTTGTTTTAGCTTTCGGCGCGCGCATGCACAGTTGCAGGTGACTGGAGGGGGAGGGAAGGAGGGAAGGCGGGGAGGGGCGAGCCACACGTAAACAGCAAGCAGCATATAGGGAACGGCGCGGCGGGAAAATGCAATACGACTCGAGGACAGGGGACTTGCTTGAACGAAAGGGAGGCAGGAGCACAAACAAGAGGGATCGTGAACACGGACAGATTGTGAGAAAGACGAGGCGAAAGGACAAAGTGTCGCGCGACGTGTGTATTTTGCGGTGGTGCGGTGTTGAGTGCTGAGTGTTGAGGTGTTTGCTAGTTTGACGTCTGTTTTGAGGGGCCAACTGGGAAGTGGGAAGAAAAAGTGGGAAAGGAAGACAAAGGGCAGGAGGGGAGGAAAGGATTGGTGACAAGAGGGGCGGGGGTAGTGTGAGAGGAGGAAGGGGCATGGGGACCAGGATAGGGCCATGGGGCCAGAAAGCAGGTCCAGGTCGACTGTGCTGATTGAGCGGGTAGGCGCCCTAGCATGGCAGCACTTGACAGGGAAGGAATGACGGAGCTGTGGGCGGATGGGGCAGGGAATGGGACAAACAGGGCAAGTACGAATTACGACGTACGACGTAACGGTTTTGCTGTTGGGAGGACACAAGAAAGGAAAGAGTAGACTGATGCTAGTCATTGACGTACTCTGTATTTTCAGGAACATTGAAAATTGTTGATGCGTCTGTGAGCAACGTGCACACGATGGCAACAAGTCGGACAAAAGGGGAAAAGGTAAGATAAAAGGAAGGGACAAAAAAGCACGGAGACAAAACAGCCGGGGGATGCTCGAGAAAAAGCAGACGACGAATTGACGATGGGTGGGGACAGGAGGTAAAAAGAGGCAAAGAGCGATGGGACGAGAGGGGTGTGGCGGCTGTTTTTTGCCAGGGTGGTGAGGTTCCTCTGTGCAAGGCAAGGCCAAGTCACGGCAGCCAATCCGGTCGGGGCCAGAACAGAGTGCTGGCCAGCAACTGGCTGGCGACCATTCGCCGCGCCAACACGGAGTACAGGTACAGCGACCCCAACATCAACCTGGACAATGCGATCTGAGGGGGTTGCCACTGTCTGGAGGGGTACAGGTACCTGGGGGCGCTTTGCAGCCCGCTCCTCCGGGCTCCGGGAGGCAAAGAGCGCACGCGAAGCGCATGCCAGCGAGCGCGGAAAAGACGGGATGACAGCGAAGACGCCAGGACCAAACGGCGTCCAACCCCAGTGGAGCCGTCGAAGGCAAGGACGGAGGACAAAGGCCCACCGCGCCGGATGAAACGAGGACGGGATGGGTGTCCGTTTTCAACTCCGCACTCCCGTATTTGGGCACGAAAGACTCCGTACGATGCACCGCTTTGGCTCTCGTGCTCAACCTTCCAGGCGCAGCAACAGCCGGGCTGGTGGCGCTTGGCGGAGACTGGAAAAAAGTGGCATGCAGCACAACCCAAAACCCAAGACCCAAGACCCAAGACCCAAGTTTCGGTTCTGGTCAGGTCGCCTTGGGGAGGCGCTAAGATTCAGCGCCAGTGGCAGCGAGCGACAAACTGAAAAGCGGTGCGGGTGACCCCTGTTGGCGGCGGGGACGACCCAGCTTGTAGTGGATTACGCAGCGCACTAGCGCGCAACCAGGCATGCCCCAAATTGCCCAGGAGCCCAGCAGCCCAGCGAGCCCAGGTCGCCTGCGCCAGGCGGCGGATCGACCAGGATGATGGCTGGGTGGACTGATGGGCAGCAGGCGCAGGTTCCTCGTGCCCTGGCCAAGCTCCATAAAAAAAGCAACAGTTGAAACTGAGCACGCTGAGGTATCTTACTGTGTAGAGCACGGAATGGACAGGACAAGTGGACGGAGAGTGGAGGAGGTGAAGAAGGTTTGGAGGGAGAAGCGAAAGCAAGAGCGAGTTGCGCGTCGAACAGCATGATCAAGGAGCCCAGGAGGCAAGAGACAGAGACAAATGTAGCACACTATGCCCAACATGCAGGATGCCCAAGCGAGCACAAGACAATCTTTGACGGGACCAACCCGCGAGCAGGCAACCGCCAGTGTGGAGCGTTGTGAGTCTTCCAACCGCGTGCATGCAGCGTCGCTTGCCGCTTCTCAAGTGTCGTCCTCCCCTACCAGCTGCCTCCCTGCGTATTGTACTCTGCGGTGCTGTCGCCCGTCTCCCAATGCCGCACCTTGTTGGGTTGCAAGCGGATAGAAGTGTGTCATGGCAGGGGACGCGGATAGGTCGATATCGATAAGGATACAATTGGGGCACAGGTAGGAAAAGGCTCGAAAGGCTGCGAAAGGAGGCATGCAACTTCTTGAAAGGGGCCAGGGCCACCAAGACAGCTGTTAGAAAATTATACTTACAGGTGTAAACGGTTGGAGTTGGGTAGACCAAATCAAGTCCACTTGGTGCAAGCGCTTCAAGAGATTGTTTCGGGTTTTGTAATGGAAGGCTCTTGAAAAAGAGAGGATTGTTGAAATCAGATGCAGAAATACTCCTGGTAACAAGGCTGTAAGTGATAGGCCGAGAGTCAAGTCAGAGCTGACGGAAGGGAGGGGAATTTGTAAATAGATATAAAGGTGTATAATATGATTGTGCAGATCAGCAGGACGAACGGGGCAATGTAAGAACCTGGCCTGGATGCTGCCTTTGGCCTGGTTTCGAGAAAGGATGCAAATGATGACGAACTTCGAAACAAGTGGAGGGGCGATAGGCGTGTACAAAGTGACAGGTGACGTGAGGAGTAAAAGGAGAGTGATGGAAGGCAGCAAATGGGAGCTGAGGATTGACAGTGGGATAAGGGAACGGCGATCAAATTGAGGCTGGGCAACAATGCGTTCCGATCCGTTTTGGTAGAAGTGCTTTGCTGAGACGTACGGGAGTCGGCAGGCGAGGGAGAAGTCAAAAGTCAAAAGTCAGAAGCCGGTGTCTTTGTTGAGAATTGCTAGGAGGGACAATTTTTCTTGGAGCTTAGGAAAGCCGTTTCCTGAAAAACTAAACGAACTGTGAAAAAGGGGGTGCACCGAGTAGATGTAAGACACGACGACAAGACGGCAGGATGACGGTGACCTGGTTTGCATCGTGCTGATTTTACTATACTTTGGGAGGAGCTCTGTTATTACAGCTGAACCATAGTCCTCTGTGCTGTATTCGACAATACGCTTGGCATTTTGTGAAGGATATCTTCACACAATCAGATCGTACGGTAATTAAAGAGTGAAAAAGAGGGGAGGGGCGATTCATCCAATGAAAGGTGTTGGAAGGGCGTTCATGAAGGGAAAACCTTGGTCCTGCGATGTAGGAACGACAAGGCTCCGGCATCATGTGGCAAATTGGCAGAAAAGGGGCAAGAGACGCTACCATGCTGTTATGCTCTTTCCCATTGCCGGCCTGCATTGGGCAAAAGAAGTCGTTAGGGGCAAGTAAACACTTCACGATAATTGGGAAGGCGCGTGCCGCGCAAGACTGGCCTCAACTGGCAGTCACCAGTCGTTCCTGGCCTCTCGCACGTTGTATGCATCCACAGGGTGGGCATCTTCCATGCAAATATCGACACTTTTGCAACGCAGCTTCCGTTTTGTCAGACGTAAGGGAGCCTCGATACATGCAGCAATATGTCTGCAGAGCAGGAAGTGGGGACTGCCAAGAAGAGACTCGTTCACTTTTTTTTTTCGAGGAATCATGTGCCTCTTTATGAGACGGGCCACGCGCTAAGAAGAGCAAGCATATTGTGGACAAGTGGACTTCAGCAAAGCGTCGGCGTCCTTTTATGCAGGACAGCATCGGCTCTCGACAGATGCCTTTAAGCGATTCTGCTTGGCGGTCCTGTTGAATTAATGGATCGTTGAGAAGGTGTGTGCTGCTGTTCAGCTTTGGCCAAAAATTGCCTTCTTTGATGTGCCTTCTTTGATGTTGGGCTTGTTTTGGGTCATTAGCCTGTCCTGCTGCATCTTTTTTTTTCTGACCTGCTGAGCATCCCGAGCCTGCGATCCCGGAGGACGGCATAGGACGGGGCTCGCGAAGGTGGCGGAAGCGAGAAAAGCGTGTAGAGAGGAGGACTGGTGTATCCGTCTTCGAGTAGTGTGCCGGTATCGAGAATTACACGCAGCCAATACTATGCTGTCGGCGATCATGCATTAAAACAGCACGTTGTCGTACATGGCGATCCTCAACCAAAGTAGAGATTGAATGGAAGAATCACACGGAGCCTGGAAGCTGCTCCCTTTCCAATGACTGACAGCAAAGAAAGAAAAGGGGACATTACTACGAGAGAGTCGAA